CTTTCGACATATGCACTCCGTTGCCGCATGGAAAACTATTTCAAGTTTTGTCGGAATTTCTTTACCTGTGGTTGTAATGGTCGAGGGTTTTCCAGCGTCCTGTAATACCCAAGGTAGTACAAGATACTGGAGATGTGCGCACACATTCCCATCGTTCTCTCTCCAACTGGGCACTGGCAGTAGTAGTCCTTTATTGGGGCCTCAACATCGGGTGAAACGGTGAACCGTATCCAAACGTTATATTTCGTTTGGCTTTTGTGTCGAGAATGTATTTGACATCGGAGAAGGTCTGGGGAGTGCTGGTAAAGCCACACCTCATAGTCTCCGTCATCACTTAAATGTTCGGCGATGTAACCAGGAGCCAGAGATATCTGATACGTTCCACACGTAATGGTTCTCAAGTAATCAAGATCGAGACGGGGAAACAGTACGGAAGATGCATCCATCTTGACAAACTCGGACCTTGCCCGTCTAGATAGATCCGGATCTGTCTTGACTCTCTGAGCTAAACCATTCGGTGTTGTCAAACGGTCCTTCATACGTTCAGCCATTAGCCTATCTTTGGCATCTCTCTCTGGAGATCTCTGGTAGATCGGTCCTCTAATACCATTCAGACAGGCTGTGACGGTTCGAAGCAAAGCCTCGATGACATTGATAAAGCTGTTAGACACCAATTGCGTTCGGAAGAACGTCCAGTGTTTCAGACGACCATGATAGGATTCCACAATCCACCTCGATTTGGTGATAGTTCTGTCAAGATTTGCTTGGACGTCAGAATGTTGACTTTGACCGGGTTTCAGGTATGACGGCATGCTAGCATTGAGGCCAGAGGCTTCGAGAACTGGTAGGACATCTCTAAAACCTCGGTCAACGACAACGTTGTCGTCTGGTTGTAGCCAAGTAACTAGCTTGTCCATGACTTTTTTTGTAATTGTAGCATCATTTTCGCTGCCAGTGAATGGTCCTACTGTGTCCAGAATGTAGCCATCTGGTAAGGCGATGCTCATGAATTTGAGATAGTTTCTCTTCTTCTGGCCACAGTAGGACATTCTCTGGAGCTTGTGGTCGGAGCTTTTCTGGATATAAATATAGGTGCCATCTAATATGGCAGTGGCTTTATCTCCAAAAAATGCTTCTGAAAAGACAGTATTGTGCCCGAGCAACTGTTCTCTTGTCAAGTGATCCGGACCTAGAAATTGTGGGACTATCGATGTGTCTAATGCCTGTACTATGGAGTGGAAAGTTTTGGACACACTTGACTTGGAAATTCCAAAAAGAGAAGAACACTGACTCCAGGAAATGTCGGTTTTCAGTTTTACCCAGAACAGTAATAGAGCATCGTGTGTAGTCTTGGTATATATACCAGATGAAAGATATGGGGAACAGTGCGAGTGGATTTCGAGGAACTGATCTTTGGACCAACCTGTCCAGGCCATGCATGCCGAGTCATCAAGAGAAGAAAAGCTTATTGTAAACGCAGACTGGTTCTGTGAAAGGACGTGCGACACCTCTAGGAGGTCATTAATGATTTCGGACGATTTTGATGGTAACTGAGATTCCAAGGAACCTCTACCATCAAGGACAACCTCTGTAGACGGATCTAAGTCGTTACCAATAAGGTGAATGGAGCAGACGCGGGATGAGGTGGGACACCACAGTTTGTGTGAATAGATCAGGTGATGTCTTGCACGTTTTGGTAAGACTGATGATTTTGTTCCATTTCTTGCAAAGGTAACAAGACAGAGACAGCATTTTTTGTGTGAAGATGATCCATTCAAAAGATCATGAAGGGTCAGCAACGGCAGGATATGGGACGGGGAGTCGTCTTCTTCCTCTATTTCCTGGTTCTGCTCGGGTTCAGGTTCAGGCTGATTTTTGTTCCGAAGATACTTCATGTAGCACTTCTGGCAAATAAGTGCTTGTTCCTTTGCTGACATCAATCCTTGTTGCACCAGCGTATCTAGGAGCCATTTATATTGTGGACTATTTACATTGCGTGCACTTCTGTTCTTATTGCCACTACGTTTCTTGAAGTATACTTGACACCCTTCTCCAACACATTTACCCTCCATCTTGAAACAATAACGATTGGTTTATGAAGCGTCGATAAAGTAACAAAATAGCAAGCCACCGATGATTGCTGTAAACAGCTAATACTTAGTAGTTTGGTACAATTATGCGAAAATGTGTGATAAATAACGAACAACTAATTACACAAAATAACAAGACAATATAATAAATCACATTCAATACCTCCAAGAAGCGCAGAATTGATTGATTACTTAGAACAAAATAAAGTATTTCATATGGATAATCTATCTATTCGATGTGGCGTGGTCGGCAGGCACAAAGAAAGTGAGACAAGTCAGGGTCCCAACCCTGACAGAGCCACAACGCTTTGGAGATGGGACAATAAAACAAGGAAAGTGAGACAAGAATAGCTAGCGTCGAGTCAATGATTCCGTAAACGTATAGACAAAGACAAGAAGATACGGATAAATGTACAAGGCCACACGATCAGAAAATTCAGAAGAGGACAACTTGAGATAGAACAGTATTCATGTATCAGGGTGTCCTCAGTGTAAATCTTTATATCGATACTGTTTATTTAGTCGTTACACATCATAAAACTGTCATGAAAATATCCGCTCTGATATTCAATATAAAAGTTTGTATATAATAAGCTATATAATAGGGTTTCAGACAAGGTTGTTACTCATTTCCCCTTTTCTTTCAATTTACAACCACATTCAGGCGGCGATATGAGAACGTTCCACCACATGGAATTAGCTGATTTTTGGTACACATATGAAACAAGTAAAGCTCTATCCGATTTTCTGATGGAAATTTGCATCCAAAACTATATAACGGGAGAAAATTGCAATTTTATGGCATTTTTCTTCATAATTGTGTCTCTGCAAGTGCATTTTCATCCGAGAATTTTTTTTTTTATGTTTTATGAATAAACACGATGTTTTGGAAATATTTATCAAAAGAAATTTATACTATGTTGCGAATTACAATTTCGAGATAACCTTCTTTTATTTACGAACTTATGTCTTTGATGCTGAAATTGACAACTTTATAAAAATACATTTTCACTGAAATTATGAAATCTGGGTGTCGGAAAGGTGTAAAATTATTCTTCGGAAAAGAAAAAAACAGTAGTTGAGCTAGATAAGAAAGTATACGGGGGCAGGCTCCTATGGAGAATTAACATTACTGGAAACAGGCCCTTTGTAATATACAATAATTTATTATTGCAAACTTCCAGATAAAGCTTTTAAAGTCTCTTTTTTCTGTGACTGGTGTTGGCGATATTTCAATCACATTTAAACATTACAATTTATTTATTATTATGATGAATTCTGCAACTTTCTGCAAACTTAGGCAGGTGTGAAGATTTGATTGTATCTAAAATTTAATTATATCTCAACATTTTGCTCCACGTAATTCTGGTTCAGCATTGAGTGACAATTAAACAATTGTATCTTTTGCAAATGATTTGTTAACATTTCATTCTCATAGTTTGAAAAATTCCATGTGTTTATAATATTTAAGTATATGCTGTCAACCAATTTTAGCTCATATGGCCGGTATATATATTGGCAGAGGGGCGGGGCCCAATAGGGGAAATAAAGGGAAAAAATTAAATTAAAGGATATTAACTGAATTTGTTCTAGAGCATCTTTGGACAAAGGGGACTCACGTTTGCATAAACAGAAGGTGTTGATGTGTTGTTGTTTTTATATACTTTTGACAAACAATTGGCAATATGAAATTCTACAAACCTTCTTTCATTAGTGCCCTATAGTAATCAGTGTCTGTCTGTCTTTCAGCACTTTTGTTTACATTACATGACCCTCAAAAGGTCAGATTTTGGTAAACATTTTGTTATGACATAATGAAGTAAAGTTGGTCATAACCAACAAGAAGTCAACTTACCAAAGGTCAAGGAAATCTGGTTCAAGGTTAATCATAAGGCCAGATTATGTTTATCTTAACAAAGTTCGTCAGAATTAATTCGGGATCTGCGTATGCAATTAGTAATGATGTCCATTATTACTATGTAAATTGGAATTTTGCTCAGAAAAATACACACAAGTGTGATGGCACTATAAATGATACTGTTTGAAGCATGGTCCCACTCCAAACATAACACATTACATCTCCAGCACACACAGGCATTCACACATAGGGAGATATTAGCAAGGTGGCATAGGACAAGTAGTAAGCGCCTGATAAGGCAGCTCCTGCGAATCCCTCAATTTTGATTTATGCATTTGCTAATTGCATTGATTGTAAAATTGTATATCTATGTACTGTAAAGGTCTTTAAAGTGACTTATTCTAACTAGATAGGGCGCTTTATCAAATGTTGTATGTTATTACATATTTCACTATTTATGATAAATATTTACCAATGAACAGCAATACCGATTCAATCACATTCCAGTCTCTCTGGTCTGTGAGATTTACGTCCCTTGTCCTGCGAACACCATAATACAGTGTACAGTACCACTACGTCATGCACCTATTTCCGAATCCTTCATGTAAAGAGGAACCAACGTAACTAGTGTGCTGATATTCATATTGAACTCCCATCTCCATAGATAAGGTTCTAACTACTGTGGCGAATCGATCGCTCTGTCGGTATGTTCCTAGGCCATAAATGATCAAATTATACCGGTATGTCCAATTTCCACGTCCCTCCTTGAGAAATGCTCTGATCCGTCTTCATTACCGCCGAACACCCGTTCAATAACATAACGTGTTTGTACATATTGACCTTAGCCATCTGTTTGTCACTACGATCAATACAATTTATATTGACTCAACTTCATCTGTATTTTACTTCAAATATCAGAAAATATTTATTTATTAATTCCAAGATAAGTATCAACGGGTGTTCTGTGATTGTTGCTCTCCCAAATGGTCTAGGCTTCAGAATTTCAATTTCTTTTCTGTTGTTGGTTCGCTTAATCCCCTTGTCGGGTTTTAATTGGAGTTTTTCCGATAAGTTGACAGTATATGTGAAATTTAGATCAATGCAAAAGAAAAGAAAATCTAATAAAATAGTTTGACCTTTGAAATGGTTTATATATCTAACGTCAGCACTGATTATGTAATATTTTCAACTTACTGAAAACCACTACTTTATTAACAAATTCAGATGTTTATATTTTTTACACTTCACGCTGAAGAGTACTGACAGTTCATATGATTACAATACTTAAAATAACTTATTGCTTTTTACATTTTTATTATATTTCAAAAGTATAACGTGATGTAACATGATACATAGCTTCCTAATTAGGCATTTTCAGTATAATGTAACAACATCAATGCTAGTGCTGGTAGGTACGACGTAATGTTACAGTAACGCTACCGTGTAACGGGACCCAATTATCACCGATCACCTCTGGTCTCGACGTGTGATATTTCACTCTATGGGAATAATCGTGTGAACATCCGGACCAAATAAGATCACTTATAGAAACATCAATTACACACTTGAACTTAAGGACACTTTCGCTGTGTTGGTGATGTGAAGATCGATAGCCTGGCACTGAAGTGATCCCGCAGCACTGCCAAGTGTGTGCTGATTTCTTAAGAAACTATTTAAAAGACACCTCAGGTTTTAGCTACGTATCATCGTACTGGTTTCCGTTGTGTACAGCAGGCTGTTTGTTGTAGGATTTAATAAATTTATGAATTGTGTCATCATTTGTCAGATAAAGAAAAAATGTTTCACACTGTATTATTTCGTTTTAAACTTCCATATTTGGTTTAGAGTACTTTTTTGCTTTAATAATTGGTCACATTAATTTTGTATCTAATGAAGTGATATGGACGCGGCATATCTCTATTATCTTATTTCACCGAATCAATCATATTCTGTACACGTAGCTCATATTTGACTATATCAATACTATTTCGTACCCATTTAACCAAATATTTCCCTATTCTTTCACATTAGAGAGCTTAACTAACCTATTATTTTACTAAATAAAACAGCTCATCTCGCATAAGTTCGCATTAAATGAATCATATTTCAGAGTCAACATAACTATTTTAGTTAATGTTACAGGCTAGGCAACATGCCTGTCCGTATACTATTACACAAGGAAAAACTGCACAAGGTCGGTTTTGCCAATCCAATCGTTCTTTACGCCGTTACCTAACTATCGACATATTTGACTTGACAACCCCGTCGTACAACATCGTACTTGTATCTTGGTATCATATTCATTACAATATTCAATTCCAAAGTACGGTCGAGATATGAAACGGCGAAACTTACACTTCAGCCTCGGGATCCCGGTAGGATAGTTTCAGAGAGGAAACGTGGCATCACTGAATGCAAACCGAGTAAGATAGTATCTCTCCTGTTCTCTCGAGATTTCATCCCTACGATTTATTTTGACGCGAAAGATCTCCTTTGATTACACATGTACACCAGTTCTAATAAATATTGCAGAGGAACGCCGAGTTGCGTTGGATTAGTTTAGTTGTTCAATCAAAGAGAGTGCATGCCTCATAGTATCTATATTATTCAACGTTTGACACCTAGAAGGACCTTTATTTTGAAAAATATCTTATAAACGATTTAAATTATTTTAATTAAATGATGTTTAGCTAGTTGTGAATCATTCAAATTTAAAGAATGTTAGCTAACTGGCATCGACTACTTGCTGGTATAAGCCCATAATGTGTGATTGGATGCAGTTTCCTTATTTACTGTTTTACCTTTGGGATTAATCAATTATTTATGCTGAAATGGATATTTTTGATACTTTTCAGCTAGTTCAGACAATCTACTTCAGGTCTTTGTATTTTATACACCTTGTGATAATGGACCTTCGCTTTTATGAGTTATATATTTTACTGTACAGCCTATCAACAGCACGGTCAGTTTATTATAATGAATGGTCAGAATGGGAACACGAGAAAAAGTTAAGAATGTCTTGTGGATGAATTTTCCCTTTTAGAAATGGCTTTTCTCCAATTATCATCGCTGTTTGTGTGAGGTTAAGTCACTTTGTTTAGGTGGATCACAACACGTAAGGAACTCATAAAAATATCTTTGAGAAAAGTAACACCGATTTTAGTGTAAATATGCGGATGGAAGACCTGATGATAAAAACGTTCCTTTAGAACCTTTTCTTTTCTAGATATTTGCCATTAAAGAGTTTCCCATGCACTTGTAATTCGCTAGTGTCTCCTTTATACTTGATTGCAGAAACATTCTGTTTGGAATTCTCTCCTTGCCTCTATATATCGCACACATGTTTGCCATTCCAGAAAAACAATAAGGTTGTATTGCATATTCCTAGACAGTGCATCAAAGGCTTTTTGATATGTTACAGAGTTCCTTCGTTGTACTATAAGACGTTTTGTGTTATTGGCTGCTCTCATTCAGCCCTTTGTATTGCTTTTGCCTTGCAGATCTGTCTGCATTTCACATGTTTTCTTTTCTCATTGTATCCAACTCTGGCTCTTGTTTTCTTTGTTTTCTGAGACAGCGTGAAAGTAATATTTCATTTGAAATTATATGGATTTTCTTTTGAGTAAACTTCTAATCAAGACTACAAAATATATGAAATTTAAATTATTGAGCAAACTCTGTAGAGAAAAAAATAGTTCGTGTTAGTTATAATCAACTTTTTAATTAGTAAGCTACAGACGACTATGGAATTATGCATACATAAAGCAACATTAAGCAGTATGTTTTCCTTGTCAAACGGTCATACTCCTCTTCAATACGTTATTTTCCCCTGTTAATACGTCGTTTTCTTTGTCAGTCCGTCACTTTCCTTATCAAACTGAACCTTCGTTATCATTGTCAAATACTTATTCATTTTTCAATGTGTTAATTTTCTTGTCAAATTTCTTCTGACCTCGTGTTAGCTTCGTGGTCGATGTATAAATATTTAAAATTGAGTCTGTCCCACTTAGTGTTGTTTCTTAATAACTGTTCACGTAAATGAATTACCAAATCGGTGTTCACAGTATCTGTATCATTTTATCATACCCACTCAAATATAATAAAAGACGATTTGAATAAATTCTTATTTTCGTTGAGAAATACATATTCTCTAAGCTAATTGAATGTTCATTTATTGTATATATATCGCGACGATTTTGGGAGCAAAAATGAAAAGTAAGACTTAGAACATTAAATTCAAATTAAGTGTTTCTATTCAGTGCGAGTTTAACGACATGTTCTCCTTGTACATCAAACTAAGTTTTGATTTGTGGCTGTTTGTGGAATATTGCTTCATCGCATAAACCCAAGTCCATGGAAAAGAGGACGAACAGTAACGTACACCTTGCCCAGGAGTGTTTGTATGGCTGCTTTAATAGCGAATAAAACCATCAATGCAAACTTTAATATTGAAAAAGTTTAATAAGGTTTGTTTAAAAAAAAGGCATTTAGAAAAGAAAACTAGATTTCTTCATATCATTGGTAAGTTACTTGGGAATACCTTTCCCTCACGAGATGACACCTTGTAATGTAGGATATCCATGGTAATTTATTGAAAAATGTGCAATACTTATTAGATAGATAATAAGGCTGATAAAGCATTATGACAAAATTGGCATGTGTTCACGGATAAAGCTGTTAAACAGCGCAGTTGTAAACTGGTACATAATGGCAACTTATAGTTCACATTCAAAATTCTTTTAAACATTCATACACAAAAAAACAAGATTAAACAAAGCATGTTAATAGTCTTAAGAATTAAATAAGCACAATATTGCATGATATGAAATTATTTCACAGAAATAAACACCTGTTTGGCCAATTACGACACGGCGAAATATATGAACAGCACGCGAATAACAAAGGTAAGACAATTGTTTAAAACAAATTATCACAAACACCCGACGCAGGACGCTATTAACGAGAATTGTATCCTCATAATAATACAGTTTAGTACATCCTTGAGCAGGAGAAATCTTAACCTGTTACACAAGTATTAGTTAACGTTTGCCTCTACAGCCGATGGGAAAATAATTAAATCCCCATCGTTTGTGAAAAATATATAGTTCAGTAAGCGACTTATATAAATGTGATAAGCTGTATTGCAGACAAAATATTTTAGGGGAAAATTGGTATATGATTTGTTAAAACCTGCAAATTGCCACAGTAGGAATATATTCACAGTTTGACTATCGAGATTTGATCTCAAATAATTCTTCTCAGCTAGAAGAAGTTTTAATCTTTAATTAGTTTAATCTAGTTGTTTACTTAATATCACAAAACTGTTTGCCAGTGAATCGGAATGACACAGAAGTCTACAGGCGTCCGTTTGAGAACACCGGATAGTGTCTGACGCCAGAATGACACGGATAATATTAAAAGCGTTTATGTGATGTGAGGATTACCGTCCGGTGTAAATGTATAGTAAACCCAAAAAACTAAGTTGAAAACTAAAAATGACACAGGAAATAAAACTCGTGATATTTTGTCAATACATCTAGCTCTTCTCTTTGGGTCATCACATTTCTTGAAGAATCGGAATGAAGTTTCACTTTGCACACACTCCTGTAAAGAGAAAACAATCTATTTGAAAAAGTTATGTTTCACAATTTTAAAACATTAGATTTGACTATATTTATATTTTGAGCGTAACAGTATTTATCCAAGGCTTTGTTAATGAAATTGTAAATACAAAAATTCTAGACATCAGAACTTTTATTTCTTGTCAATTTGTGTATGGCTCGACACGTATTAATTAGAAATGAATGCTTATACTTATTTATATACTTCTGGATGCTCAGATCATCGATCATCATGGTGTTAAAAGTGTAAAACAGGTGCCCTACTAGCTTAAGATTTCAAGCGAACGCATGTGTATATGTTTTTCAGCGGAAGTTCGACTATCGTATATTCCACAATACTAACACTTACAGAACTTCCTTGGACAGCTGTTGGAGCACCATTCATTTTCTTTTTCCCTCTTAATGTCACATTTGCATATGCAAATTCGATTAAAGCTCCAAACACGAAGAACAGACAGGTTGCCATCCATACGTCGATAGCCTTTACGTATGACACACGCGGAAGCTGAGAGCGTGCACCGGCACTCTGCGTTGTCATGGTGAGCACTGTGAGGACACCCAATGAAATCCTCGCTGCTGTCGAGTCAATGTCGATCCAAAACGAGACCCACGACAGAATGACAATAAGGATGCTTGGTACGAACACTTGTATAACGTAATACCCAGTGTTCCTTCTCAACAGTACACCACCCTCCAGACAAGTGAAAATGCCAGCTGATTGAATATAAAAACGCACGTTTAACTATAAAATGTTATTGATATACATTTATACTATCACCTTTCACCGTGATCAACATGCAGCTAATTAATTACCACTCTACCATATCAACATAACATATTTTTTTTCTTATGAAACAGGTAGGTTGTTGACACATCACTGACTATTAAAACACAAGTTAAAACCTTTCTTTATCATATTCATTATCTAAAACTACCGGACAACCTCTAAATGTAAAGTTTTAACGGTACATAGGAATTAGAGGCGCACTCCCCCTTCATCTCCACAAAGTTTCGCAACTCTTTCACAAAGGTCTTAATATAATTGACGAGTCCCGAACTAAATGAAATAAATGTCTATTTGTAAGTAAACTATTATTTTCCTTGGCTTATGTATTGGGTTACTATATTTGTAATAGTTGCTTCTTTACTGAGTGTTCAGGTGGTTTCTCAATAAAGACCTGACGACATTTCTTACCTTCGCCATAGTCTTTGTCGCAGCGGTCGAAATAAGGGTCAGATTCGATGAAGAACTGAGGTAGTTCTACTTCCGTTATTTCCATAGCCTTAGTGGTATCCCAGTGGAATATCAGGTTTTCAGTCGTGTATCCGTCTGAAAAAAACAAAGTAGAGAAGGTGACGTTCCCTTAATCAATTGCAACACTCTTCTTTACAAAACTGATCATTAACACTTTTCCCAATGTACTTATTCTATATAATGATAGTGCTGACATCAGTTTATTGTATCAATAAAACAAAAATGCATAGACCAATGTAAATCACCAAGAACAGAACAAAGGTCGGTCTGAAACCTCAACGCATCTATCGGGTAGACTGGTTATGACTGGTAACATCTCGTGGTTTTATTATTTAGTACCACAACAACAAAGATGACTATTGCAAGACGGCTTTTAATCATATAAGAGGTTTATCTATATTTTACTTTTTCGACATGAATACAAGGATGGATTACTATAAAACTGTTCTATGCTAGTGTATGAAGGTTATACCCCAGAACGACTAGAAAGGACGTGTTAAAGGATTAAATGTAGGTTGCAAAATGTGTCTTTGCTTGTTTTTACCTTTTTGAAGCAGAACACAAAATTTAATTAAGTGACTGTCTTTATAGACAAAATGAAAAATCCGTATTGGATACCTTACGTTAGGCCGGATGATAACATAAATGTTCGCATGTTTAATACGAGCAGGATCTGGATGTAACACAAATGTCATTGCACATGCAAAAACTAGTGATCCTGATATTTATATGTAACCTACTCAACAGGCAATAATCATCAGAGCCCGGGTGTGTATATACAACCCTAATTGTCATAATGGATAGAACGTCAATCCGGACGTTACACACAACTCTTTTAACACGACATGATGAGAAGAGCTGGGATGGTCATACACAATGTAACATACGCCAGCATAGACTGCATCTTGATAGCTATAAACATCTGTCGCACACGTTTAAAGGAACAGAGCCAATATATTCAAGATAACCATTTGCAAAGCCAATACACATTTTTTTTAATAAGTCAGAACGAGGAATACTCAGAGTGCAGTGTGCAACAATATGTTGAATATGATTTAAAAGTAGCTATAACTTTCCGGCACTCGAGTTTGCAAAGTGATACACGTTCTCTCACATACACTGACACAGCATACAGCGTACTTACAACTTTCCATGTAAAAGGGACAGAACTGTGAGTCCAAAGGATACTTCTGTAGTTCCATGTGGCAGCTCAGGGTCATCCCAATCCTGATTTGAAACAAAACGGAAAACTCTTATTTTTTATACCTTAATAAAATACGTTCAGATCTTATTAGAACGACGAGTACAAGGTTGCACAATTTAGGAAACATGTGCAGGCGCTGTGATGTTTACTTGTCGCCGTAGAACACGATGCCGATCTTGCAATATTTATTATTTACATGTTGTAAAGTATCTGGTAAATGTGCTATAAAACACAATAGTTTCGGTATAAAAGTGTGTGTTTACCTTGCGATATAGAACTCAGTACTATTTTAAAGAAGATTTTGATATTTACCTAGCGCTGTAAAACACGGTACCATTCTGGTACAGGTGTAAAAGTGTGTATTTACCTGGCGATATAGAACCCAGTACTATTTTGGAGAAGATTTGATATTTACCTATCGCCGTAAAACACGGTACTATTCTAGTACAGGTGTAAAAGTGTGTATTTACCTGGCGATATAGAACTCAGTACTATTTTGGAGAAGATTTGATATTTACCTAGCGCTGTAAAACACGGTACCATTCTGGTACAGGTGCATAAGTTTGTTGGGAACAGTGATAGAATGGACAGCTGCCTCTTTCTCATTGGTGAAGATTGTGTCGGGGACCCAGACCTTATCTATAAGTTTCTGGTCCAGCTCGAGCCGTGTGATATCGGTCATATTGATGAATACAAGGCGAGGATCAGTCCATTTTTGTCGAAGAAAGATGTCCACAGAAAAATCCTGAAATTCATGGTGTTATAAAAAAGGTATAATGTATAAAATTCTCATACCTTTGCCAGGGAAAACTCTATCAGCTATCGGTTAGCAGAGCTCTTGAACTCAAACTCGAAACAATGTCGAATTCATGGAATGGTCTGTTGTATGTAGATGGCTTACGCTAGTATATAATGTTTGATGTTATCAAATTAGATTACAGTATTATTTCGTCTTTCAAATTGTTTTCAGTATTGGAAAGTAACAATGTTATTCATTGGCAATAATTTCTTTAAAAAGGTCTCTTTGTTCCAGTCTGTTTTCAGCCCTTGCAAACATACACAAGGTTCGCATAATAACAATAGCATAATGTCGTTTTCTAATCATACCAACGCTTCTAAAATACGTTAATCGAGAAATGTTATTTTGCTATTCACAAAACATTATTTCATTATTATTATACAAAGCCGTCATACTGAACAAACTTCAGGTTGCAAATAGAACTTTATGGTTTATTGAACCGATTTGCGGAAAACGCAATATAAAATTCTTTAGAGAATATTACGGTGAGTCTGTGTCAATGCAGGTAACACCGATAATAGCAATAACAATGGAGTGTCAAGATCTCTGTTACACATATTTTACAGATAAGACCTGACAAGATGATAAGGAAACTATAGGGCAATTATCCCAGCCGTGTGTAAGGGGTTAAATAAACCGGCTATATTTGAACCAGAGTGCAATTCGACATTTGTTTATACTTAGACCACGAACAGTAGCCAGATGAGGTTCTAGACAAATGGTACATATGAAATTGAACAGATGACCCTTCCGAGATAAAACTAGCCAGACGAGACCAATTAGATAAGAGTCTAGATGTGTGGCTTATAATAATAAATTTTGTAATAACATCGAAAAGAATTGATGATCATTGACAAGAATAAGACAAATAACAGAATTAGGCTGCTTTGAATTAGTGTTCAGCTTGTAATCGGTTGTTCACTAGATCTACTAGATAGTACTACAGCCTAACCTTCCGTAACAGGCTTAGATCAATACGGAAACAAAACTCACATATTACTATAGCCTAACTCGGCGTAACAGGCATAGATCAATACGGTAAACAAACTCACAAAGTACTACAGCCTAACTCGGCGTAACAGGCTTATATCAATACGGTAAATAAACTCACATAGTACTACAGCCTAACTCGGCGTAACAGGTTTAGATAATTACGATAAACAAACTCACATAGTACTACAGCCTAACTCGGCGTAACAGGCTTTGATCAATACGGTAACAAAACTCACATAGTACTACAGCCTAACTCGGCGTAACAGGCTTTGATCAATACGGTAACAAAACTCACATAGTACTACAGCCTAAATCGGCGTAATAGGCTTAGATCAACACGGTAACAAAACTCATATATTACGACAGCCTAACTCGGTGTAACATGCTTAGATCTATACGGTAAACAAACTCACATAGTGCTACAGCCTACCTCGGCGTAACAGGCTTAGATCAGTACGGAAACAAAATTCACATAGTACTACAGCCTTTCACGGCGTAACAGGCTTATATCAATACGGTAAATAAACTCACATAGTACTACAGCCTAACTCGGCGTAACAGGTTTAGATAATTACGATAAACAAACTCACATAGTACTACAGCCTAACTCGGCGTAACAGGCGTAGATCAATACGGTAAAACAACTTACATAGTACTACAGCCTAACTCGGCGTAACAGGTTTAGATAATTACGATAAACAAACTCACATAGTACTACAGCCTAACTCGGCGTAACAGGCGTAGATCAATACGGTAAAACAACTTACATAGTACTACAGCCTAACTCGGCGTAACAGGTTTAGATAATTACGATAAACAAACTCACATAGTACTACAGCCTAACTCGGCGTAACAGGTTTAGATAATTACGATAAACAAACTCACATAGTACTACAGCCTAACTCGGCGTAACAGGTTTAGATAATTACGATAAACAAACTCACATAGTACTACAGCCTAACTCGGCGTAACAGGTTTAGATAATTACGATAAACAAACTCACATAGTACTACAGCCTAACTCGGCGTAACAGGTTTAGATAATTACGATAAACAAACTCACATAGTACTACAGCCTAACTCGGCGTAACAGGTTTAGATAATTACGATAAACAAACTCACATAGTACTACAGCCTAACTCGGCGTAACAGGTTTAGATAATTACGATAAACAAACTCACATAGTACTACAGCCTAACTCGGCGTAACAGGCTTAGATCAACACGGTAACAAAACTCATATATTACTACAGCCTAACTCTGTGTAACATGCTTAGATCAATACGGTAAACAAACTCACATAGTCCTACAGCCTACCTCGGCGTAACAGGCTTACATCAGTACGGAAACAAAATTCACATAGTACTACAGCCTTTCACAGCGTAACAGGCTTATATCAATTCGGGCAAAACAATCACATAGAACTAAAGACTAACCCGGCGTAACAGGCTTATATCAATTCGGGCAAAACAATCACATAGAACTAAAGACTAACCCGGCGTAACAGGCTTAGATTAATTCGGTCAAAACAATGACATAGAACTACAGACTAACCCGCCGTAACAGGCTTAGATCAATATGGTAACAAAACTCACATAGTACTGCAGCCAACCTCGGCGTAACAGGCTTAGATCAATGCGGTCAAAACAATCACATAGAACTACAGCTTACCCCGGAGAAACAGGCTTAGATCAATACGAGCAAAACAATCACATAGAACTAAAGACTAACCCGGCGTAACAGGCTTATATCAAAACGGTAAAACAACTCGCATAGGACTACAGCCTAAATCGGCGTAACAGGCGTAGATCAATACGGCAAAACAACTTACATAATACTACAGCCTAACTCGGCGTAACAGACATAGATCAAAACGGTAAAACAACTCACCTAGTACTACAGCCTAACTCGACGCAACAGGCTTAGATATCAATACGGTAAATAAACTCACATAGTACTACAGCCTATCACGGCGTAACAGGCTAATATCAATAAGGTAAAACACTCACACATTACTACAGCCTAACTCGACGCAACAGGCTTAGATCAATACGGCCAAAACAATCACATAGAACTACAGCCTAACCCGGCGTAACATGCTTAGATCAATACGTTAAACAAACTCACATAGTCCTACAGCCTAACTCGGCGTAACATACTTAGATCAAAACGGTAAAACAACTCACCTAGTACTACAGCCTAACTCGACGCAACATGCTTAGATCAGGCTTACATCAGTACGGAAACAAGATTCACATAGTACTACAGCCTAACTAGGCGTAACAGGCTTAGATCATTACGGTAACAAAATTCACATAGTACTACAGCATGTCACGGAGTAACAGGCTTATATCCATACGGTAAATAAATTCACATAGTACTACATCCTTTCACGGCGTAACAGGCTTATATCAAAACGGTAATAAACTCGCATAGTACTACAGCCTTACTCGGCGTAACATGCTTAGATCAATACGGTAAAATAGTTACATAGTACTACAGCCTATCTCGGCGTAACAGACTTAGACCAAAACGGTAAAACAACTCACATAGTACTACAGCCTACCTCGGCGTAACGGGCTTACATCAGTACGGAAACAAGATTCACATAGTACTACAGCCTAACTAGGCGTAACAGGCTTAGATCATTACGGTAACAAAACTCATATATTACTACAGCCTAACTCTGTGTAACATGCTTAGATCAATACGTTAAACAAACTCGTATAGTACTACAGCCTAACTCGACGCAACAGGCTTAGATATCAATACGGTAAACAATCTCGCAGAGTACTACAGCCTTACTCGGCGTAACATGCTTAGATCAATACGTTAAACAAACTCACATAGTCCTACAGCCTTCCTCGGCGTATCAGGCTTACATCAGTACGGAAACAAGATTCACATAGTACTACAGCCTAACCCGGCGTAACATGCTTAGATCAATACGGTCAAAACAATCCCATAGAACTACAGCCTAACCCGGCGTTACAGGCTTAGATCAATACGGTCAAAACAATTACATAGAACTAAAGACTAACCCGGCGTAACAGGCTTAGATTAATTCGGTCAAAACAATGACATAGAACTACAGACTAACCCGCCGTAACAGGCTTAGATCAATATGGTAACAAAACTCACATAGTACAACAGCCTACCTCGGCATAACAGGCTTAGATCAGTACGGTAAATAAATTCACATAGTACTACATCCTTTCACGGCGTAACAGGCTTATATCAATACGGTAATTAAACACACATAGTACTACAGCCTAACTAGGCGTAACAGGCTTAGATCATTACGGTAACAAAACTCATATATTACTACAGCCTAACTCGGTGTAACATGCTTAGATCTATACGGTAAACAAACTCACATAGTACTACAGCCTAACTCGGCGTATCAGGCTTAGATCAATACGGTAAAACAGTCACATAGTACTACAGCTTAACCCGGCGTAACAGGCTTAGATCAATACGTTAAAACAGTCACATAGTACTACAGCCTAACCCGTCGTAACAGGCTTAGATCAATACGTTAAAACAGTCACATAGTACTACAGCCTAACCCGCCGTAACAGGCTTAGATCAATACGTTAAACATACTCTTATAGTACTACAGCTTATCTCGCCGTAACAGGCTTAGATCAATACGTTAAACAAACTCGTATAGTACTACAGCCTATCTCGGCGTAACAGACTTAGACCAAAACGGTAAAACAACTCACATAGTACTACAGCCTAACTCGGCGTAACAGGCTTATATCAATACGGTAAAACACTCACACATTACTACAGCCTAACTCGACGCAACATGCTTAGATCAATACGTTAAACAAACTCGTATAGTACTACAGCCTAACTCGCCGTAACAGGCTTAGATCAATACGGTAAACAAACTCGCATAGTACTACAGCCTTACTCGGCGTAACATGCTTAGATCAATACGGTAAAACAGTTACATAGTACTACAGCCTATCTCGGCGTAACAGACTTAGACCAAAACGGTAAAACAACTCACATAGTACTACAGCCTAACTCGGCATAACAGGCTTATATCAAAACGGTAATAAACTCACATAGTACTACAGCCTAACTCGGCGTAACAGGTTTAGATAATTACGATAAACAAACTCACATAGTACTACAGCCTAACTCGGCGTATCAGGCTTAGATCAATACGGTAAACAAACTCAAATAGTACTACAGCCTAACCCGGCGTAACAGGCTTAGATCAATACGGTAAAACAGTCACATAGTACTACAGCCTAACCCGGCGTACCAGGCTTAGATCAATACGGTAAAAAAAACTCACCATGGATATCTCGCGTATTGAATGTATACTGCGCACAAACAGCTGTATTGTCACATTTGTCGCTGTGTCTAAAATACAAAGTAAAATGGCATATGTCAAAAAAAGCGATATGCTGAACCATTGAAGTGTTACGCAGAATCTATTGATAAGAAAAACAAAGACTTTAACATTGAAGATATGTTCTCATTAAGCAATATGTGATGCTTGGTAGAAAGACAATTGCGAACTTCCCGATTGGCATATATTAAGGAATAACCGGGACAATCAATTTCTTCCAGTTCTTTGTGCACTATTCATGAAAGTGGATGTTTTCGATTATGCCCATTAGTATACCTCATGGTTTTGTTGTTACTTCCAGAGTTCTAGATGTGAGAAGGTGGCATTACTTGGATTTGACCTAGATTTACATGGCTGGTGTCGTCGATGAAGCGAGATACGCTTCTCCTTCCGAAATACCTGGTCTTTTTCTCATTGTAATTTTTGTCAATCAATAACATATGTTTAAACCCTACGACCTTTTTAAATGATAGTAATATTCTCGTGAAAAGAAATCAACACGTTATACGCTATATTGCACATAGTGCTTATTAATACCTGTACGCAGTGATCGATCAGTTATCATTCAAAACATGAAACATGGAGTTATACCAATCGCACCAAAAAGGTCATTCAAAATAAAGGTGAAGATATGCTTTTTATTTGGTATCCATAGGAAACATAGATACACCAGCGGTTAAAGAAAGTGTAACATTAAGAGCTTAAGTATAAAACCTGAAACCTGAAACATAGGAAAACAGAGAATATGATAACATATGTTGCGTGAAAAAAACACGTTAATTGTTTGCTTTATTTACAGTGTTTTACCAATACAACTTAATTGCAGGAGGATAACATAATAATAAACTCGACCAAATTGACAGGTTTAAGAGATCAACGATAATACAACCAAATCGTACGAGGCTGGCATGGAATGTAAAAAACAGTCCTGTTCAAATCTGTTAAAGATGTGTTCAAAGCCAGATCGTACAAAGGGCAACATTCCGGGTCAACTAGATTACGGATTAAACAGTTGTTACAGCTGTGTCGTGTTTGTTTTCTATGTCAGATCATCAGGAGACTTAAGGAAATTCCGACAGAAAATCGCATTACAAACTGTTTATGTAATGTGTAACGGAACAGCTTAGAATGAAAAATTATTATCTTAATGTAGGTACACTGTACACGAATGTTGATTACCGCTTACAATGTATATCATCTAGTCCTTACAAGAGAACAGAAGTACATAACATGTACGATAGACCAAATATATCTCGCAACATAAAGAAATTGCTACATACTGTAAAATCATAAATTTTCGTGGGACATTAAATGTTGTTTATTTCGTGGTTAACAATAATCCACGAAATTAAATCCCCACGAAAACATAAATTTGGTATGATATGGATAGGGGAAAATCAGAAATTAGCGAAATATAATGTCCTTGAAACAGGCTAGCCAATGAAAACCATGACATTTTAACCCCATGAAAATAAATGATTCTACAGTAAGTATTAAAAATGTAAATACAAAATATTAACAAAACTTGAAATTGATCAAAGCAAATTAGTCCTCTATGAATGAATATTTTCATAAATAAACTGTTTGGAGTTTATTCAAGGAAAATGGAGCGGCTACCGATATACAATGTCGGTTAGGGCGTAATTGGATTGCGTGCCTTGTAATCCCAATCTCAAATTATGACTCAGGGCTAAACAACTGAGAGTTCTACTATCTGTATCATTTGAAAGCAATACCGCTGAGAACACAAAGATAATCGAAACGAAACCTTCAGGTCATAATAACGTTCTGTTTTATCATGGAACCTACCACAAATCGATATACCTTTGAGGTCTAGTAATACACAGATTGTCATTTATCAGTCGACAATACCATACATTTACCAAAGACAGACAGGAATTTGATACTGTCGGTCAATTAACAACTTCTGCTTGGCAGTGACTCTTTTACTCTATAATTATTTTCAAATAATAGATGATCTTTTGATAATCTCAGAATGGTTGACCTCAACATTCTTTCTAGACCTACAAAAACATTTTCAATTCAGACAATTCTACACTTGGCTGTCAACAGTTTCAGTTGGAACTTCTATTTTTCAAACTGCAGCTTAGTACATTTTGACGTGTAATATTCGTATGAACAACACATGTTCAGATGGTTCTTACTTAATAGAGCTTCATCGGTGAAGCTACACGCATGTGACACGTCGTAAAATGTACATTCATCAGAAGTTCATTAATTTCAACATATCAAAATGAAATTTCGTTAAAAAGTGTATTAAAGTCACATGAACAGCACATCTGTTATTATAATGATGATTTTAAAGATAGTTCTGTCGACGCTTGGTTAGTCGGCATATCAATATACACACATGTGACACGACGTCGATCAGACGAAGTTGAATTCAGTCAACTGTCCATAACTTTAAAGGTTTCTTGGTGAACATGTGATTTTTGGCATATAGATAGCATAGATTAGGATGTCCCGTACTCTTTCTGGCGTTTCAAAATAATTTGTGTGGCATGCTTGTTGCTTGAAGACGTCTGTTGTTGTCGGCAAAGTTCGTCGTTCATATGTTAACACTTGTTCAGTAGGGCATAGACGACCCTCCTAACGTGTTAATTATTGAAAATATTATATCGATTTTAAAGAGTACGAATCAACCATGATATAAAGAACAGGATTTTACTTGGGCAATTAGACCAGTAAGTAAATCTAGGCATTTAAATAAGCATACTCAAGGTTTCGGATAGAAGACCACTAAAATCATGCATGAGCTGATTGCAGGCTGGCCATGGGTTAAAAATGTCATTGTTTTCCGAATTTCTTTTTAGCAGCGGTTAGAAGAGAATGTCTCTGACAAAAATCAATAAAATTTGTATTTACAGAAAAATAGCAACACTTGTCTTTTGGAGATATGATATATGTGTGTCACGTCTGGTCACCCTTTGGACATAGCTCTGACGCAGCATAACGCAACATAAAACAAAGTTTGCGTTAAAAGTACATACACCTTATGGGACAACACCTAAGTGACATTTGTAGTGAATGGCTGCAAAGAGCTATACAACATAGCATGACGCGATCCATTGAATTGTCTAAATCCAAATTTGGTATGACCTCATAAATGTTAAAAAAAAATCGTTCTTTCAGTATTACATTAAATACGATTATTATGACAATTTGCTGCAGTGCAGGATACAAAATATGTTTCGCAAAATCCGACCCCCAAAAACCTGTTTGTATATGGTAAAATTGCGCACTAGCGATGTTGTAAACCGCATGACTGGAACTGCATTAATAAATCAGCGCCCAGCTTATCTATGAGTTCTAAACCAGTTATACTTATTTGTTCCCCACTGGTTCCCAATGACATATTGGGATGGCGGAGTGTAGAATGAGGTGACCTATGACTTGACCTTTGACCTTGACTTTTGAAAATGTTTGTCCGGGATATGTCTTCTATACTATTTCACATGAAGCAACCAGATTTGGTGTACGAGGACATCTTACAATGACGGAGCACAGAGTGGAAGGATTAGGTTGTCACTCTGACATATGACTACACCTTTGACCTTTACTTTGAAAATGATTGTCCGGGGCAATTCTTTTTAACTGTTTCATCTGGAGTAACCAGATTGTGTGTACAAGGACATCTTTGGATGGCGAAGTGCAGAGTACAAGAATTAGGTCACTGTGACGTATGACTTGACCTTTAATCTTCTCTTTTGAAAATGATTGTCCGGGGCATATGTTCTATACTTTTTCATCTGAAGTAACCAGATATGGTGCACAAGGACGTCTTGGGATGACGGAGTACAAAATGTAGGTCATTATGACCTCACTTTGACCTTTGCTTTGACATTTGATCTTACCCTTTTGAAAAAAATACTATTTCAACTCCGGTAACCAGATTTTATGGAAATCATTAAATCATTACCGGTGGGGGACTACGATTTGCCTTGAAATACTTTGCCTTCTTATGCAAGCATTTTTTATAATAATTGAAAACAACCATAATTTGTTTTAAATCCTAAGTACTGTATAAGAGTTATAACTTAAGTTAGAGCTTTCAAAGGTAAGATAATTTCTTATTGGCCTTTCATCTTAACCGACTGAACAAAGTAGATTCCAAGTATCTATTCCAGTATTAGAAAATATTTGTTATAACATCATCGCGTCATTTTTCATATGTGATACTGACATGTCGTCACGTCGTCGTTGGATTAATCTGTAAGATGGTGATATATATTAACCTCTCTAGATATTAAGTATAATCCGTGACAAATCGTCGTCTGCTGACATATTAAGTACGTAACATGTGGTCAGATTGTTCAGCTTCCTCCGCACAAGAGTACTACGTCTGATGGGAGCTCGTGTCATAGTAAATTTGTATTGACCGAAATTGGCTATCAATCGTAGTAATCTTATCCGGGGAATAGAGGAGATGATCGAGTCCTAGTAATTATAGACTCGCCACAATTCGTCCATTACTTTGCTGGGTCATATTTCAATCAGCACGGAAAGAACTGATTGGAATGTAGTTGTCAAAATCAGGTCACTGTCACGCTAAAAAGCTACAAACAACAAGTGGGCGAAGGTCAAGGTCAGGAGTCCTTAATACCATCACACAACTGTTCCATGGGATCAGAGAACCAAATGAATTTTTTGAAAGCAAAAAGGAGGTCACGGCGAAGTATACCGTCATGAAATAAATTTGTAATCAATATTACAACTGATATAACCATTACATACGGTCTTATCACACTTCCTGGTTGTAACTCGATCAACTCATTTTTAATAAAATGTGATTAGAGTCATACAAGCTCAATTACATTACCGTGTAAAATATATCTGTAATATCGGCCATTTTGTCGCTGTCACCCCTCCCGTTATAACCATTGTATACATGCCACGAGGGAGCAATCGATAGCCACTTACTGGCATCACGTCAGGCCGGATCAGGCCATGTCACGTATAATATCACAGCGATATTGGCCTCACGGGAACCATAAACAGTCGGCCATGGGTGTAACACTTTAATACGTCGGAAAAAATGTCGCTGTGGTGAATTGAAACACGCTACACAAATACCTTGTCAGTTACCGAAGTTTCAAGATCTGTTCAAACACTCATACGATAAATTTCGAAAATGCTCGTCGACGTGTAGGCACCTGAATTGATGATATTCGACAGCCTCTAAATTCACAAGAGGTCTCATTATCCTGACAAAGCGATCGCTAAGCCCATAGCAGAAACAATGATTTCCTGCGGAGCTTGTGTGTGCAAAAGCGCAAGCAACCCTTTCTTTTAGTTTGTTGAGATATTTTCATTATAGTAATAACATAAACTTTTTTTCTTGATTTAAGTATGTGCACATGTATTATTATATACCTATTTGCTTTTGTTCGTTGTGATCGCATATCCCATGGTGCGTCGGTTTCGTGATTATATTTGTGATTCTATCAATTCATACAGATGACATTACAGGTAGTTAAGTAAAAATGGTGTAGCCTTGAATAGTTAACGACCATACATATCACGTTAGGGTATGCATATTGAATCGGTTGTTTCAAAGAGTTTTATAAACTTGGATACGAAAGGAAAAAAAAACCTTAGCAATTTCATCTAAAGATAATTTAATAAGTAACCTCATTGGAATAGGCGAATCCTTCAATTTATTCTATTTGATCAATTCAAATCGATCAGGTAATTCAAATGTTTATACCACGCAAAACATATCAAATTCCATTGTTCCATTTTGTGACTATCGGAAACTTTCAGAAAGTATAAATGTTTAAGTATGCTCACAAGGTACAATGTATATATATTTTTTTTTTTTTTTTTTTTTTTTTTTTGTTAGTTCGCAGAGAAGGCCATGTAACAGATTGGTCAAACCAACATTTTGTTTAATGTCTTTGATTTAGTTATTATTATTATTTTACTCGCATTTCTCTACTTGCATCTCGAAATGTCCTTCTCTGAACTCAAAAACAATTTGACCCCTTGATGCAAAAGGGTGTAGGATAGGGAAATTCCACCATGTTTGTTTTTTCCAAATTGGGTAAAAACTGACGCTTTCTGGGGTTTTAAACTAAATTTTACAATCCAGAGGATTAAATTGCCCTTATGCTTCACCTTTGGGCAAGAAATAATATTTTGCTTTAATTCCAATCTCGAGAAGTAGCTCAGAAAGAATAAAAGGTGTCGCAGATTCCGCATCGCCACATCTGAATGTTCCAAATTTCGTGACGTCATGTCATTGTCTACCCATTGTAAAGTCACGCACGTAAAATGGGGTGTAGAAAAGAAAAGTCGTTCACCCATTTCTTACTCTGCATAGGTATGCCATAGATACACAGAAATGAGAGATAACAACAATTTTGAGTAGTGGAAAAACAATGCGTTGCCGTACTCACCGAGCACAAACCTCGAGGCTATCATCGAATTGTAAAACAATAATGTCTAGCACTACTTACCTTGCTCGAAATTCGGGGCTATACTCGAGTCGTACCGGGAGGTATTGAGGAGATGATTGAGGACATCTTGTCTGGAAAAAATGGTAAAGAACATCTATGAATGGTATTTGTCATAAAAGATTAGATTTACCCGCTGGATATTTACCCTAAACTTACAACTTAAAAGCCATTTTGTCAAATGTTTTGTAACCTTTACGTTAGGTTTTCGTCTTAATCAAACGCACTTCTCTGTAAAGGTCTTATCAGATTGGTTTCTTGTTTTTAATACATGTAGAAGCATGGAAAACAATGAGCTACATAAAAATAGCAATACTAATAAGCGTGTGGTCTCAAAAGTATATATCAACCATTTCCAAACTATATGTGTTAAGTAATATCAATATTTATCGATACATTACAATATCTATGTTTCATACACAAGGCATTGCATTGTTTCTTATGGATACTGAAATACGGTTACTTGAAAAGCTGATATTTTTGTTAAACAGAAATAGTCAATGCATGTTGATATTTGCGTTACATAACGCTTCTTCGTTGATTAGCTTAGATGCCCTAATATAACTATCTAATATTCAATGGTGAGTCTAAATTCTCTAATATAATATCCCTTTGGGTGACATATTGTCAATATTATCATAATTAACAAATACCTATTTCAAATTATACCAGAAATATTTCAAGCATTGGAATGCAAACAAGGAATCTACAAGTCATTAAGTTTGCTTTTGTAGTTAAAGATAGAGAGCCAACGTATTGAATGCACTAACTTCACCTTCCAATGTTTCATGAATCAATGATCTATAATAAAGTGCAGTTATGCAATGATAAATGTAGATGAAAAAATGTTTTAAACGCAATTACCATCTGAAACATAACTATCTGTTGTTCACTATTCCGTCGAAAGATTTAATTACTTGATATTAACCCCCACAAATCAAACTAACAAAATGCATGCTTTTTAAGTCGGTACTTGCATAGCCTTTTCACAGGAGGAATTAATACGAGTAAGCGTTTGAAGTTTATTTTCACAACTTGTAACTTAAATTGCACTTATTGCTTTAAAAGATACAAGTATGTCTTTTTCAAGCTTTGAAATGTCAACATGCAGTTAAGTCATTTACTTGTGGAGGTGTCGTAGGGGTTACTAGTTTTATGAAATAAATATTTTGGCAGTTCCAGCAAAAACATATGATAACCCTTTGCATAGAAAATAAAATATTCTTTTACGTTTACAATGTTCCCTTGCTCATTGTCATATGTGAACAAAGCTGCTAAGTAATCTGTTTTTGAATGCAAGATACGCGTTTGAAATGCTGTTTGATTTGTTTTACTTAATAATTATTGTATTTCTAATATTGGTCAAATAAAACCAACAACGAAACATTTGAGAATCAAAAGCATTTGCCGATAAGCGCTTTGGTCACCACTGCTGGTCGTCCAAACCCTTTAAGAACACTGTTCATTACATACATCGCAGGATAACACTTAGAAAACTAGCAGCGCCTCCTCGCAGTAAGCCTTCTTAATACCGACCCCGTAAAAAGATATATTATTGTAAACGCAAGTGTACCTGAACAGCAATATTATTTTAATGTCCTGCAATCTTTTTTCATTGGTGTGTATACTTCATACGATAGTTTCAATGCTGCAGGGGTGAATATGGAAGAGTAAGAGTTTCGCTATATCATACAATAGGTAACGTCCTTATAATCGGATTAGTAGTAACACATTGCTCATCCTTGGCCTACAATATGCTGCACAGGTAAAGAGCTGAGGTAAGACAACGATTGGTTTTTATTGTAAAAGATGATCTTCAAACCGGAATCGCCATCCACGGTTAAGATCAGGTCGGTATATAACGGTTCTATCTAGTATCACTGATGTAAGACATTTTAATAATATGATTAAATGTCAAGATAAAAACAATTCTATTAAGAATTATCGGAACAAATTTGTTGAAGCAGGGGGCATGTTTATAAATGTATATTCACTTTACCGTGAAACTTTTTTCAGCATGAAAAGATCCCAACATAAGATGATAATATTTCAGCACATTACAAAGTAAATAATATTGAAGTATCAATTAATCTACTTCTGCATCGCAATTAAAGACCAAATATTGCTTAACAAATATTAAAATACCCCAGAAACGTTACCACCTACTATAATAATGTTAACAATTTTTAACAAATATCCCACAACCCTTACCGCTATAATAAAGCTTACAATACTTCACAAATATTGAAATATCCCATAACCCTTACCGCTATAATAAAACTATCAATGCTATGCAAATATTGGAATACCCCATAACCCTTACCGCTATGATAAAGGTATCAATGCTATGCAAATATTGGAATACCCCATAACCCTTACCGCTATGATAAAGGTATCAATGCTATGCAAATATTGGAATACCCCATAACCCTTACCGCTATAATAAAGATTGCAATGCTTTATAAATATTGGAATATCCCATAACCCTTACCGCTGTGATAAAGGTATCAATGCTTTACACATACCCCATAACCCTTACCGCTATAATATCCAATAACCCTTCACGGGTAAGTTATGTTTAAGAAATAATTAATCATACCCCACCGAAATAACACGTGTAGACCATTGTAGGAGTCAGCCAACAACAAGCCACTATCACTATGTTGACCTAGCTTAACCTATGCTTTCTCATATACATACCTAACACGTGGGAGCTTATTAGGAATCCTACATTATATACGTATGAAGCATCTAACGTCGGGACCACTTCAGAATTGTGGATTTCTTCTTCTAAGTGGACATTGAAAAGACCTAATGGGTCTACTGTCGCATTACACGACTTGGGACGTGTATGATTTATTATCTACACTTTTCAACCTTCCTTTCTGCGATGTCTCCCTTCACACCTTCGGCTGTTGCCAGGACTTAATTCTTGAACAAAACCAACAAACGTTACCTCTCATCACAACATCAGCTCAAAATTACGCCCGCTGAATCAAACCGACATCTTCTAAATTAATGCTATATTTCTCACCCTCCCAGTTCTATACCTCACGTCTGGAAGTAATTCTGCAATACTCTAGTAATCAATGTAAATGAGATATGAATGGTCCTCCAGCCGCGCAGGCTAGCAACACATCTTATACACCGAGCGAGACAAAATACGGCGAAATGCACGTGTCAATTTCAGGACCAAATCCTCTTGATTCTACAAAGCATTGCAAAAAATATCAAGTAAACGACGTTTCGAGTGAACGTTGTGACCAATATACATAACGGTATCAAAAGTAGCATGGACGTTTTTCTCGGGTAATACCCGGATAATCAAATAGATGTGCTGTCCACATACAATCCGAACGAAAACGATAAAATTAACCAAATAAAACTATGCTGAGTACGGCATGTTATACCAGAACACGTCGGTGTTCTTCAATTTTAATTTTAATTTAGCTGTGCATTATATTCATACGTTGAATGATAACACAAGGAAGCCATTTCACACCGATGATTGCTTGTGTTCCAACCAAGTACTACATGTACCAACCACATAAGTGTTTACATGGAACACTACGATACATTGGGTAATCAGACAGGATAACGATCTGTCCATTGGCGCTCTGCTCCTTTAGCACCTTGATGGTGTTACAATATACATTGTGTTAGGGTACAGACAAAGCTTTACCTCGAAGTGTGCAATACACCAATATATGCTATATAAACCAGACGGCATCATAAGATCAGCTGAACAACTACCAAGTCATACCACCAATTATTGAAACAAACTCAACAAGAAGGTGTTGGTTCCACATTACTGAAGACAGAAATCCATTTGTGTTGCACAAAAATGTTTGACCAGATGTGTAGCTTGTCTTCTGGATAAAAGACGGGAAATATACAATTTCTGCTGTATTTTCACAAAGAGGAGAAAACAGGAGAACTTTGAAAAGAATAAAACTTTGATAGTATTCTGTCACTTTTCAAATGTTTATTTCACCACGCAGACAGAAAATCAGAACCCAAATTCGCACCAAACAATGCATATATAGAGAATACATTAATCAAAACAAAGTAACAAACATGAACCGCCAGTTAACACCCCGACACCAGGTGTTCCGGAAGTGTTCCTGTTCCACGTATGGAACCAGTCATAATTTGTCTCTCATCAAAACTTAAGTGTGTAGGTCACCAACTGTCTAAGACATTCTGAACAAGTCATTCACCACTACAGATATGTTTTCTGTATGATGCCATGTAACTCGTTTATGGTTAACTGATTCCTTTTTCAAATATTAAAAGTGCAATCATATGTATGTGTGTGTGTTACGTTCCTCTTTTGTTACATCCTAATACTAGCATTTAGCTACAAAATGAAGCGTAAAACACTATCATTTCATTACAGTTCAACGTTTTGTAATGTGATCCTGTCATGTATGATGTGGAAATTGTAACACGAGTCATTAGTTATTATTCAATGGATCGGTTTAAACACGCACGTCTTCCAAATTCAATGAAGTGATGTAACGTTGAGAAGGTTTGGTTTGGTTTAACTTTGCTTAACGTCCTATCAACAGCTAAAGACGTGTCTCCGTGTGTTTAAGTGTATGTGTGCCTCTGTGTGTGTATGCAGGAGACAGAGAATGTTGGTGTGCTTCCCTCCTTGTGAAAGCGCGGATCTGATGCCGACTTTATGGTGCTATCTCACTGCAAAAACCATAACGAAGGCACCCAGCACAGCAGTCCACCGGGTCACATTATACTGACAACGGGTGAACTAGCTGTTGCCATTCCCCCAAATGCCGAACGCCCAGCAGGCAACAACAATCACAAGTTTTAAGGACTTTGGTGTGTCTCGGCCTGGGGACAGAACCCATTGCCTTCCTCACCTGGACGAACGTGAGGTGTTGCCAAGCAAGGCTCTATGGGAAAAAAAGGTAGTCAGAAGTAGAAAGAAAGATAAAGATCCAAAATATTGCAATGGGCGCAGCAGATTTATTGTGGTCGCTTATGTGTCCCAAAATGGAGGACACCAAAGCAAATCCCCAATGCTGCAGGGGGTTCCCAAATTAGTCGCCTC